GTGAACTTTGGGAGGAAACTGTCAAGGTGAAAAATTATCTTTGAAAGAGAGGGTAAATAGAAGAGGTAAGGTGCTAATCATCATCCTCACTGATTTTTTTCGACAGGCTTCTTGCCAAGTGACCCACAGGACAAGTCCAAGAAGTCTTGCAATTAGTTTAGCACTTCTAAATTGTGTCAACAAGACCTTCACCTTCACATGCTTGACAATATGGTACAAAAACATATGCAAACACCTTTCACTTGCCATGGCGATCCATCTGACATACTTATCCCAGCTGCAGCGCAAGTTGTTCTTTCTGATTTCAGGAAAGGATGATAGGCCAGAGCCATTAAGGGGAGCTTTTTTGGGGGGATAAATGTGTGCGAAGCAGGTTTTATTTCATCCTGCTTTTCCTGGACGTACTTTAGAGGAATCTGGGAGCAAATCAGCACTTTCCTTTGGCTCAACCTCAGTCAGTTCTGCGGGAGTATTTATGCAGACATTGATATGAAGTGGAAGTTTATATATTGTTGTACTCAGCACTTTTTCAGTGAAACTGTCAGCCTTTAATTTTCCCACCAAAGAGGCAGGTAATCAATTTTAGCTCTCAATGAGACTGAAAGAGTTGCTCTTTTGTACTTAAAGGCAGTTGTAAATGGTCCTGTGTTGGAGGGTTAGGTGCTCTTGTCTGTAAGCATTGCCTGGTAGACTTCAGTCGGAAGCAAATTTGTATTTTTGTGCAGGAAGTTAAGGGGAAAGGGATAGAGACACAATGAAGGCTGGATTCATACCTGAATGTCCCACATGACCATGAAGCGTCAATGTGTCTGAAGTACTTTGAAGTACGTTAATTTCTAGGCCACCACTCCAAAAGTAGGAAGCAACTCCTCCCCTACACTGAAAATCTTTGTTTTAAGAAGAACTTAAGAACTTATGGCCACAAAAACCTTAAGACAGCAAGTCTATCAAGTGTGCCATTCAGAACAGGGTCATTGAAGATCTTTGGTAGTAATAGTAAGGTTGCAAGGTTGGGTTCCACAAAGGTACCCATGAGTATTACCATCTTGTCCTTAAGCAAAGCACATTATGACACCTGTAGTAACGAGCCTCTAGTTTCTCCAATGCGATTGTTAAGTCACTTTGGGCAAAGGACTTGTATAAACCTATCAAGTGGCCTTCATAGATGACTGCACATGCGTTGTGAAGCTAGAGGCTTCTGTGTTTCTGATTTACATCCTAGATTTCTTTCTGCTTCTCCCTGGTCATGTCCTCCTTTCATCTCTATGCATTTGTCTATCTGCTGACTTCTTCCTCACTCCCTTCTACAGACTCCCAGTCGTATCTGTCTTTCTTCCTCTCCAAGCCTCCCAGGAAGTGCAGCATTTCGTTTAGGGTCGTAAACACGCTATTTGTGGGCTGGGGGGTGGTTAGGTGCCCTTTGAAAGCTTTTGGCTGTGGTTTAGGAGTTCAAGGCTGCTGGGTACGAGCCAGAGTCTCTATCTATCAGAGTCTCCTCTGTGTGTCTGGAACTGAAGATGTTTGCCATCTCTTTTACACATGTTCTGTTTATCACTGTCTGGGTGATTCTCTTTTACTCCGGCTGTCTGACTGGCTAATCCTCTTTGACATTCGCTTGTGTTGTCATTTCATCAGTAATAGATAATTAAATTAAACTGGAGAGGCTCTAATTTGTTCTGGTTGGTGTGACAAAACACTGGACATCTCTGGTATCATCTTGGCATCACACACTTACTCCAATCAAACTTTTAAAGAACAACTGTACAACCTATATTGGTATTTAAATAGTCGAGGCTGATATGTAGAAAGCTGCTGGTATATGCATGATGTGTGTAATTTCTGCATTAAGGGGGTTTCCACTATGGGGGACACCCCCTTAATGCAGAAATTACGGGGGGGTTAGCATTAAGTTTACCCATTAAGGGTTTCACACACAATTGATTGTATCGAACCCTGGTGCATATGCGTTAATCTTACGCCATAACAAACGTGCACGGTGCATGATAGAAAACAGAACTCGGGTCAATATAGTGGGATTTGTTATTAATTTGGTGCTATTATATGCAGTACAACACTTGTGTCACAGAGTGAATGACACTTGTGTGCGTTGCATTGAAGGCGGCTTTCTGCTGCTTGCAACTGGACTCTTTAGAGGAGAAAGCTAACTGTGAACCATTCGTTTGATTCATTGCACTTACTCTGCATGATCACACTGTATGCTCACTCTCGCTCATATCCTCGGTAACTCATCACTATTGTCATCCCCTACTTGTGTTTTGGCTACACGTCATCGGCTAAAATGCATGCACATGTTGTTTTACTTCCCGAACAAGTGCATGCCCGAGTCGGAGTTGCTTTCACATTTACGTGAATCTCGCCACAGTTCCAGTGCAACCAAACTCAGATCAGGTAGTCTCAGGTTCGGTAGCCCGTTGCGCTCATGTGTCCAAATGACTGCTTTCACATTACCAATTTTTCATGTTTCTGTTTTGAACTAAACTGCCAGTGTGAAAGATCCCAAAAATATATAAAGGTCTATTTATTGAGAGTCCCGCCTTGGCCCGTTCTAACAACATTGGCTAAACCGGTGGCATGTGTTTGGGGTGGGACTATCCATTCTATATGACCAATGAAAAGAGGAGATTGTTTAAAACTTCATTTCAAATCTTTGTGATTATTGTTAGTGCCACTAGTGGTGGCTAATATATATATATATATATATATATATATATATATATATATATATACACTCACCGGCCACTTTATTAGGTACACCTGTCCAACTGCTCGTTAACACTTAATTTCTAAGCAGCCAATCACATGGCGGCAACTCAGTGCATTTAGGCATGTAGACATGGTCAAGACAATCTCCTGCAGTTCAAACCGAGCATCAGTATGGGGGAAAAAGTTGATTTGAGTGACTTTGAACGTGGCATGATTGTTGGTGCCAGAAGGGCTGGTCTGAGTATTTCAGAAACTGCTAATCTACTGGGATTTTCACGCACAACCATCTCTAGGGTTTACAGAGAATGGTCCGAAAAAGAAAAAACATCCAGTGAGCGGCAGTTCTGTGGGCGGAAATGCCTTGTTGATGCCAGAGGTCAGAGGAGAATGGCCAGACTGGTTCGAGCTGATAGAAGGGCAACAGTGACTGAAATATCCACTCGTTACAACCGAGGTATGCAGCAAAGCATTTGTGAAGCCACAACACGCACAACCTTGAGGCGGATGGGCTACAACAGCAGAAGACTCCACCGGGTACCACTCATCTCCACTACAAATAGGAAAAAGAGGCTACAATTTGCAAGAGCTCACCAAAATTGAACAGTTGAAGACTGGAAAAATGTTGCCTGGTCTGATGAGTCTCGATTTCTGTTGAGACATTCAGATGTTAGAGTCAGAATTTGGCGTAAACAGAATGAGAACATGGATCCATCATGCCTTGTTACCACTGTGCAGGCTGGTGGTGGTGGTGTAATGGTGTGGGGGATGTTTTCCTGGCACACTTTAGGCCCCTTAGTGCCAATTGGGCATCGTTTAAATGCCACGGCCTACCTGAGCATTGTTTCTGACCATGTCCATCCCTTTATGGCCACCATGTACCCATCCTCTGATGGCTACTTCCACCATGTCACAAAGCTCTAATCATTTCAAATTGGTATCTTGAACATGACAATGAGTTCACTGTACTAAAATGGCCTCCACAGTCACCAGATCTCAACCCAATAGAGCATCTTTGGGATGTGGTGGAACGGGAGATTCGCATCATGGATGTGCAGCCGACAAATCTGCGGCAACTGTGTGATGCCATCATGTCAATATGGACCAAACTCCCTGAGGAATGCTTCCAGCACCTTGTTGAATCTATGCCACGAAGAATTGAGGCAGTTCTGAAGGCAAAAGGGGGTCCAACCCGTTACTAGCATGGGGTACCTAATAAAGTGGCCGGTGAGTGTATATATATATATATATATATGTATCAGTCTATTACCACAAAAAATGGATCTTTTCCCTGAATTCTTCTGTCCCATGTAGAGGAACAGGATACTCAATTTATATTTGGGTTGACTTATCACAAATCTCTCTATTTGTTTGCACATTCACAATGTTCAAACATGTTGTTTGCTGGTGACATGCTAGTATATGAGTCCCTGGTGTTATATGGCTTGCGGTTAGGGAGCAGGGTTTCCCGTGTTGGGTCCAGGTGGTCCGGCTGTCAGTGAGTGGGATGCCAGTGGGAGGAGGGTAGGGGTGTCAAGAAAGATTCACAGTTGAAACTTTGCACAGCTGTTCACAAGGTCAACCCTTTATAAACTGTGATGAAATCCTCTTTATCGCTTTACCTCAATTTATCTTCCTTGTTTCCTGTCCCTTTTCTCATATCATTATTTTAATGCCATTACACAGACAGATTTATTATTGTACTCATTTAATAAATAGCTCTTTGTATGAAAACATTTGTCCACTCAGAGCAGCTTGATTGGTCAAGGCCCTGACACATGGTGGCCCTATTTTTTTTGCCAAGTCACCACCCATATCACCTGACTCATCTGTCACAAGCCTTGTCTTTCAATGGTCTATTAATAAACTAATGGTCTCATAGGAGGCTTTACACCCTACTGTGATATTGCTGGTGGAGGCATTGCTGCATTCCATGTGCGTTTCTGTGTAAAGGAGTCTTCGTTCCCACCAGCTTAATTTAAAAGTGTTAAATTACATATGTGAAGAGAAAAATATTTTATGGAGTCGCTTTTATCCAAAGTGACTTGCATTGCATTAATCTACACGGTACATTTGTTAGTTAATGTTTTCCCTGGGATTCGAACCCATGACCTTGTGGTGGTAGTGCAGTGCTCTTCCAGCCAAAAGCTATTTCTTAACATTTTTTATGCACTTTATTGTGTTCTAAATGTTCATATCTGTTCAGTTACATAATTAATAATATGATTAATTTTACTACATTTTTGCTAATATTGTGTTTCTTATTGATTCTTTTCCAGGTCGTAATGAGTTGATAGCAAGGTACATAAAGCTGCGGACAGGGAAAACCCGCACACGGAAACAGGTAATGTGATAGTGTTTCTAGTACCACTTGTTTGAATGAGTACAACAAAGGTTATGACCATATTCTGGTTTAATTACCGTACATCATGATACCTGTAATTGATACAGTCATTAATTCAGTCTTTTTTTTTTTTGGCTTGTTCATAGTACAACTTGATTGCAGTAGCTTTAGACAATGTATTTTTCTTATTTTTGTTTTGATTAAACTGCAGTGTCTCCCTGCACCTTGTTCGTGATAGTACTTAAATTTGATATTATAAAAATAATTTTTTGTAAGAATTTTTGTTTAGCTGATTGAAATAACAGCAAACTCCATACTGCCACCTATTGGTGTGGATGCTGGAAGTTCTTGTGGCATTTGTGAGATTTTTTTTACCATCACATTGTTCACGTGTGTTTGTCACACAATTTTTTTTTTTTATTATTATTATTAAATATGACTCATGTGAGTTACATTTAAACATGTTTGGCAAAATTCTATTCAGTTATTTAAGCATGCAACCGGGACAAATTACATAGTGCAACTTTAATATCCCACTATAAATAGAAACTATTGTTGTTAAGTATATGTTGGATGATATCAAATGTCTGTGGCCCTGTTTTGCCTCAGGTGTCTAGTCACATACAGGTGTTAGCCAGGAAGAAAATGCGGGAATATCAAACCGGCATTAAGGTATGGCTGTGGCGCCACCTGGTGGCTTCTTTTTTACTCACTGTCTGTTCAATGTCTCTCTTCTCTTTTCTTTTTTTCCCTGCCTTCCTTTCTCCCTCCTCTGACTTCCTTCCTGCAGGTGTCTAGCCATCTGCAGGTTCTTGCGCGGAGAAAATCTCGCGAGATTCAGTCTAAGCTGAAGGTATGCGCTTCACTGCAGTCTGCTCTGCTCTGGCCTCTGCTGTTAACTGTGTTCAGAGTGCTTTGGGTTTTCCTTATATCACCACCCAACCTTCTTATCTGTAACACGCCCTCAATGTTATCACAATTTATGATGACTTGAGCATGCAGGTAACTTTTGTTGCACGCATGCATTCATTGAAACAAATACATTGGATGGAATGATGGAATTGACCAGTATGCTTTCAGAGTAATGGCTTCCTCTGGTGGCTGACTGAATATTGCATCACTTAGTTGTGTTGCTATGTATTAGAACCTGATTCCACCAAGCGCAACATCTTTGTTGCTCCTGGAACAACATTCCAATCAACCAATCAGATTTGAGGTTTATAGTTTATGTCAAGTTTAGGCTTACAACCAGTGTTCAGCGCTAATCACCATCATTTCCCTTTGATTTTAGGGGTAAGTTATGGGTAGGGTTAGGTTTAGAGGTGAGGATAGGGTTAGGATTAAGTTTTCGGACAGAAATGTTGTTCCAGCATCTAACTCTGCAACATCAGGACGTGCTGCTGTGCATGCAATGCCTGATTGAACCAATCATTATTATTGATTTTACATTTTTTTGCTCCTATACTCTAAATTATCTTGACCTTCATAACTCAAACCTCTACTCATCTCTACTTGTTTCCCCTGTGATTTAAATGTATACTCCGTTTCAGGGCTTACATTTATTGAAGCATTGCACTATCCAAATTTAAATTTGGTGTAGCACTGCTTGTTTTGTTTTGATTAATGGCTTCTGCTTGTATCATTTTCATTATACAAAAGTCAGAATATATAATATATAAAGTCAATTTGCATAAAAAATGCAAGTCAACCAAAAAAACGAACAAAATCAGCATAGACCAGCAAACCACCATGTGATGGTTGTTGTCTCTTTTAGTTTAGCTTTGTTTTCACACACCATCACCCATATGTATGTATTGATTGATTGATTGATTGATTGATTGATTGACCAATGAAATTTCCAGCAGAAATGTTTTATTATTCCCACCATTCATTGATCGATTCATTTATTAATTAATGTATCTATCCATTCTATAATGTCCAAAACATTTTTTTCAGCAGAAATCCTTTTTGTTGACACATTACATACTGCACAATACTTATTGGTGTATTTAACATTGTTCTATAAACATCCTTATTTGATACATGAATAGACATAATATAAACAAGCATATTCCGATTTTCCGCATGGTTAATAATTCGTCTTTTTTCAGCCGAGTCTGGTTGTAGGGGAAGTAAACACATGACCTCCTCAAAGACGTGAAATGGAGAACTGTGTTTGTTCTTTGAGGAAGTCATTGGTTCACTTTGTTCCAACAGTGGGTGAAATGGGCAATGAGCGGAGCAGTTGAAGAGAGCACTATTCTGCGGTATCTGAACACACAGTGTCAGAAGAGAAAGCGCAGGCCTCTCGGCATACCTGCAGTCAGAGTCATTTGATCAGTGTGTTATCTGATCTGTTTGTCTCCGCAGCGGGGTTTTTTTTTTTTTAACAGTTTCTCTTCCTTTCAATTTTTAGGCCATGAACTTGGTAAGTGAACTGTTTTGTAAGTCTGCTTTGCCTGTGAGCTTTATGCGCACCGACGCCTGCAGACGCTCAGCTTTCTCTGGTTTGAGCTTCAGTTTGTGCAGCTCGATGCTTTGGCTGCCAGTGTCGCCCGTCTCACAGGATGAATTTAGCTACCACTATTGCCGTTTTCCATTTCATTTTTGACTTAAATATTAGGTTCTTTTTATTCCTGCAAACTCAGAACAAATTATTTTGAGAGTTTTATTCTGTCTTTTTATGTCAGGGTTTATTACACTAATTATCTTTTTTTGTTATTCTCTTCTATGTACCTATGTGTACAAAACTCAGTCATGGACTTAACTCTTAGATAACTCTTAGAAGATATTTAAAAGAAATTGAAAAAAATTGTTTACATTTGAACACTTCATCTAGTTTATTTATCACTTTATTTCCTGGTTGGGATAGACTTCTGTCGCCTTCATTTTGTCTAATTCTTTGTCTTCTTTCTCTCGACTGAATGTTTAAGCTGTTCAAGCGCTCTGTGCTGTTATCGTGTGTAATAATGTATTTTGTTTTGGTGGCTGGATTCAAATGCAAGCACAATATCATGCATCACATGTGCCCTTATAAGCATGATTTTTGCATGTTTGTCTAAACCATTTAGCATGTAGCTCTTGCACTAAAATTACAATTCAAAGGTTTACGGTTGGGAAGATTTTTTTTTTGTTGTATTTTGATTTTTGAAAGAAGCCTCTTTTGCTCACCAAGGCTGCATTTTTAAGTCAAATACATTTTAATACAGTATAATATTGTAAAATATTATTACAAAATAAAATAACTGTTTTCTATTGTGATATATTTAAAAATGTAAATTATTCCTGTGAATTTTCAGCATCATTACTCCAATCTTCAGTCACATGATCCTTCAGAAATCATTTGATTATTTGATGCTCAAGAAACATTTTATTATTATTATTAACATTATTATTATTATTATTATCAATGTTGAAAACAGTTGTGCTGCTTCATATTTTTGTGGAAACATGATCCCTTTTTTCAGGACTGTTTGATAAATAAAACAAATATTTGATATAGAAATCTTTTGTAAGATTATACAAGCCTTTACTGCACTTTTGATCAACTGAATGCATTCTTGATGAATAAAATATTAATTTTTCTTTAAAAAAAAAAAAAACCTTACTGACCCCAAACTTTTGATCTGTAGTGTACATATCCCTGAAGTCTGTTTTCATAAGATTGCATATTATCATATACTAGTAAAGTAAGCTATTATTCATATTTCGCATTAATAATACACTTTATTATTGTTATTATTACTGTTCATTCAAGTATATAATATAATATAATATTGTGTCTGTGTATGAGAATAATTTATTACTATTAAAACACATTCCAACAGTAAAATGCATCTTAGAAGTGGTCTTCTGAAAGTTCTGAAGTTCCTTTCAATCCTGGGTAATTTCTGATCATTTTTTTTTAAATGAATCCCTTGTTGCGTCTTTCTCAGGATCAGGCTTCCAAAGACAAAGCCCTGCAGAACATGGCCGCTCTGTCCTCCGCTCAGATCGTTTCTGCCAGTGTGATGAAGAGTCAGATGCCTCCTCTTCCTCAGCACCCCTACCCTCCTCCAGCCAGGGTCAGTTCAGAGTCCAAGCACCAGTCACCCTTAGTTCTCTAACTTAACCCTCAAACTTCCATTGTTCTCTGTTTTGTTGTGTAGTTTTGGCCCGGACCCATCCCAGGACAGCCTGGACCTTCTCAGGAGTGAGTATCTCTACAAAACTGATTCCTGATCTAATCAACAGTGTTGTTGTGAGAGCCTGCTGACCTTTCTCTGTGTCTTTTTAGCATCAAGCCCTTTGCACCGAACCCGTACTCCAGCCTTCAGCCTCCACTGCCTACGCCCATATCAAGTAAGAGCGGTGCTGGGATTATATCTGAACTCAGACTGACCCACCCGGGCCTAAACCAGCATGTTTTCTCCACAGGTTATGAGCAGTTGCCCAGCTCCCTCCCCCCAACCAGCACTGCCATGCCTGTGTGGCAGGACCGGACCATCGCCTCCGGTAAACTCCGCATGCTGGAGTACTCGGCCTTCATGGAGGTCCAGAGAGATCCTGACACTGTGAGTGAGCGTTTTGCTGAGAATATTGGAGACACCGGTCAAGATGAGGGCGTTCTCCATAGCGTCAATACCAAGATGCAGTGAAACGTCGAAAAGGAATTAAGATACATTTATTAAAATGGAAAACCGTCAAATGTGAAGTGTCACTTAAGGACACTTTAGGAATTTCAGTATACAGCTTTTCACAGTAAATTATAAGATGATTTGTCCTCCAAAAATGGTACATTTAACAGTATTTACTGAATGTAAGGTTAGTTATTACTTTACAAAATGTAAGGTTAGAGATCTATTACGGTTTTTCTCCATATATAGTAAGATAACTTATTGTGTAACCAATCAACAGATTTTTACGGTTGCATTTTACAGTAAAAATTACAATCTTTTTTTTTTTTTGCAGTGTATTGTATTTTCAATATTTTGATTTGGCTTTTATTTTAAGCTTTTTATTTTAATTTTAGCTTGTTTTAGTCATTTTGCACAGAGCCCCTAAAGTGACATGTTGGTGGAAAAAAATATGAGAGGATAAATAAAAAGTCAGTGCTTTTGCGTTCTTTCTCAAATGTTTTGCGTTCCCCCGAGAAACTTTGCATTCGCTCGCAAAACGTAAAGTTTCTTGGTGGAATGCAAACGTTTTTGCTAAGGGACGCACATTTTCTCGGGGGAACGCAAAACATTTGTGAAAAAACGCAAACAGGGTGTTTCTAAAAACAGGGCGTTTCTAAAAACAGGGCGTTCAAGTTAAAAGAAGTTCAACTTTTAAAAAACACTTCAGTTTAGACCTTGCACTTGTTTTCCTTCCACTGCCCTGCGTCTTTAGTTTTTAACAGCAAAAATGCATTCTGTGTGAACCCGCCCTTACAAGACAAAAACATACATAATGTGTTTCAGGAATGGCGATGTTCCATGCATTCGTTTCAAAGCGCATTAAATGTTACTTCTTCACCTCTTAATCCACAGTACAGCAAGCACCTGTTTGTCCACATCGCCCAGACAAACCCCTCGTACTCGGACCCTCTTCTGGAGGCCGTGGACATCCGTCAGATCTACGACAAGTTTCCAGAGAAGAAGGGAGGGCTGAAGGAGCTGTATGAGAAAGGCCCTCAGAACGCCTTCTTTCTGGTCAAGTTCTGGGTGAGTTATTCTGCTAATCTGTTCTTAGAAAATTGACAATGCTGAAAACCTAGTGTATGTTATTAGTTTGTAAATTGATATGTCTTACCTTCATCTCTTTATATAGCGGAGATAAGTGATTTTTCTGTAATCTGTTTCAGGCTGATCTGAACAATAGTAACGTTCAGGATGGCGCGGGCTCGTTCTATGGGGTCAGCAGTCAGTACAGCAGTGCTGAAAACATGACCATCACGGTGTCCACTAAAGTCTGTTCTTTTGGGAAGCAGGTGGTAGAGAAAGTTGAAGTGAGTTCACCATTTATTCATAATTAGGCAGCTGTGTTTTTGGAATATACTGTAGATGGTAGTGGTTTCAAAGAAATCAAATCAGCATCTATAGTTTGCCTTTTTGACCCCTAGACAGAGTACGCTCGTGTGGAGGGCGGGAGGTACGTTTACCGGATCCATCGCTCACCCATGTGTGAATACATGATCAACTTCATCCATAAACTCAAGCACCTGCCAGAGAAATATATGATGAACAGTGTCCTGGAGAACTTCACTATACTGCAGGTAAGCGAATGAGAAAACAGGACATAATTCTCAATTTAAAGGAACACTGTAACTTTTGGCCCTCTAGCAGTTAGAAAATAACTCCATGCATTTTGTGGAAGAACATTGTTTTGGTTGTGCTTTGGCGATGGAACTCGGCACTGCATCACGCCCCCCTGTGAATTTACACCAATCTATTTGCTGACAGCAGTCCAATGACGTTACATGGAGAACCTGAGCGTACAAAAGGCTTGTATTACATGCCAAAAGCTTTGTTGTCTTCAGGAAGCCGCTTTGTTTGAATGTGCGTGTGAAGATAAGAGCTCTGTTCTTGCCTGATATTCTCTCGAGGGATAGATTCGAGTGTTTGATTGGTGCGCGTTTGGCTTTCGAGGGAGTTGGACGCTCTCATAGCGATGCATTCGCAGTATAAAGCTCTGTTCTTGCTTGATTCTCTCTCAAAGGGAGGAGGCAGTGAGGGAGCTCTTCTCTCGCCTGGCTCTTTTCTTTGGGGATGTCAGTCAAGTGTCTGCACCTCACGGGTTAGGCTAGTGGGGCTCTGCACCCCATGGAACCCACCCATTCTCCACTCGGCAGCGCTGCCAGGGTGTGGTGTTGGGGACTGCCTTCATGGACCTGCAGGTGTTTTCCAATGAAGGAGGTAACGAGGTATAGAGTGCTTTATTCATCTCTGTCACACTCTCTAGGTTTCTGGGCTTGGAGATTACAGCAGACACAGATTATGTCTGCTTGCTTCTCTAGGAGGACCCTGCTTAATGCTAACATCCTGCTTTTGCAGGGGCTGAGGCACAGAGCAAGAGCATGGAGTCGTGGTGAGATGATGTGATCTGCTATTTTATCTGGTCCAGAGCAATGCTGTTGTTCGTATGCTCCTCTGGAGCTTAAGTCCAGAGAATGGACTAACGTTAAGTGAGAGTGTTAAGTCACGGTGAGATGAGGCGATCAGCTTACTTATCTGGTCCAGAGTAGGGCTGTTGTTCAGCATGCCCTCTGACATAAGGTCTGCCGAAGGCCGCTGAAGCTGTTGGTCACAGTGAGATGATGCAACCCGTTCACTTTTAACAGAAGGGTTGTTAGGCAGAATGTGGTGTTTCCTAATGGTTTGCAAGGAGTAATGGAATGACAGAGCACTTTGGCCAGAGGTATATTTGCATCTACACCTCCTTGCTAGAACTGTAGGAATGGCCAACCATCAGCCAGTGAGGGCCACTTGGCAGAAAGTAGTTGAGAGAGGTGCTACGGCGCCCTCTCTCTTAGTAGCCCCTTTCAGTTTACACTGGGGGAAGTAGCTTGATGGGAATACGTTGGCTCATTTCCCTTGAAGACCTGACTAACAAGTAGAGCGCTTCCCTCGGGGTTCGGTGGTAAAAGTCTTTCAGTAATAGTGAACTTCAGAGAAAGAAGTGGTTGTTATCAGCTTGAGCGTCCCTCTTTCTCTGTGGCTCCCTCCGGCTGATGGAGGTAGCAGGAGTTGAGTAGGTTCTTTGATGATCGGCGATGGAGAGAATGAGACTGTAGTGCTGCCATAGGCACTCTCAGTGCTCCCTCGCCAGATCTATTGAGAGCCATATTTCTCCTTATTGCTATTTCTCCTTCAGGAGGAGTGAGGGTAGAGCAGACTGCTCTCTCCTGAGTCCTCTTCTAGTCTTTAAGGAACAGGATGCTTAATTATATGCTCCCTTCACTTAGGTTGCCTTTTAGATGAGTAGAGCTAGACATCTGAGATTGAGTATGGAAACTTCACTCTCTCACTTTTTGTCTTCCGCAAATGATCATATTGGGTATTGAAGCAGGATTATGCTCCCTTTAATTGGGTTGATTGATCCCCATCCCCAGGTTACTCGAAGGTCGGAGCAAAGCTTTGTGGAATAGTTTGTATAGCAGTTAGCGACGCATTCTCTGTTGCCTCTCCATTTCATTAATCTGGATATTCTTGGAAGCTGATGAATTCTCCCTTAGGCTTGTATTCAGGTCTGGTAGGAGTATATGTAGAGTTGCTGTGAGCGACTGATACACTGATCACCTGGTTCAGCTGCCAGATGTAGTACTATGGAATCATCTGAGGCGATGTCTATAGTCTGCCCTGTTAGCTCTGCTCTTAGGGGCTCTGGGCTGTCCTGTAGCTGTGGCTCAGACTGGTCTAATGCGGTAGTCCCCGTTTCAGAAACAGTTGAGCATGGAGATTGCAGGGCTTTTTTCCTAGTGCCTATAACACTGAGCTGAAAAAAAAAATTTGAATCAATTAGAATTTTTGTATATAATGATGTTTGTCTAATTTTTTTCTTACTTTCAAAATGAAATAATTTGTTTTACATTATATATTTTATACTTGCTACTTCAATTCAAATTTAAATAAGGCACCGAATTTGACTTCAAAAACATTATTAACGGTGAGTTGTATGTGTACAGTATTGATTTAATAATGCAAATCAGAAAAAAACTGAATCCAATGAAAGTAATTAATCATTATGGTTGTAATACAGTAAAAACGTATTTCCAAGCGTATGTCATGCTTTCTTTAAAGTTAGTGTTACTATATAGTCTTCTACTACAGTTTCCCCTAAAGTGTTTTTCTCCTCCCCAGGTTGTCACAAACAGAGACACACAAGAGACTTTGCTTTGCATTGCGTTTGTGTTTGAGGTGTCTACAAGTGACCACGGAGCACAGTATCACGTTTACAGACTCGTCAAGGACTGACTGACCGCCGTGCCCAAACACCTCCAGACGCTGGTCATCGGATACGTACGAACAAAAAGAGGAAAAGAAAGTTAGAAAAACCTGAAGCTCATAAACACAATCATGGACAAAACACAAACCAGGATCCTCTGCACTAGGTTGTGTTGTATATTTAGTCGTGTTCCTTAAAAGGAAAAGAAAATGTACTTTCAGGGATAATTCTATTTCTTTCTTTTTGCTTACTGGTTTTGTGAGAAGGAGAGGTTTTGGAAATCTGTGGTTGGTTAATTCTGATTATGACCCTTGTCATGTTTATGGTACTAGACTCTGAAGGCACAAAGGTCTTTTTAAAAGTGATCGTAAGCGAATAGGAAAGGAATGCTGGTTAATACAAGTCTTTCTCTAATCAGGAACTTTGTGATAGCATGTTTGTTCTGACTGTCCTTTTTTCACAATCTTTGGTTTAGACACAGAAGCCTGCTACCTCTGACCTTTGATCGGGGTTCAGATTGTGCCCAGAAGGATGAGAAAGTCTTGTAAATAGGAATATTTTTTGTATAGGAAAAGACACTGAATGTTTGTTGAGATGGAAAGCGCAAGTTACATGAATGTTACACACTTTTGCGAGTTTTGCTCTCGATTTGGCTTGATTTTCTTGGAAAGTGCAAATGTGTGAGTTATATCTACCTCCTGGTGTTACACGAAGTGCGTTTGGAGCATTTTTACTGTGGCGTTTTGGTTTAGAAAATGGAAGCTTGTTTATGCCATGAAAAAAAAAGGTAATTGCAACATTTTCTCTCACAATTCTGAGATAAAAAGTCAGAATTACGAGATATAAAGTCAGAATTGTGCTATAACACAATTTCGAGGAAAATGTCTGAATTAAGGAATATATACTCAATTGTGAGAAAAAAGTCTGAATTGTGATCTCACAATTGCGAGAAAAAAATGGAAAAGTCTGAATTGTGAGATATACTCAAATCTTTTTGAAAAAAGTCTGAATTGCCGCATGCAAATTGCTCGCGAGAAAAAAGTTAGAATTGTGATAAGAAAAAGTCTGAATGGTGAGATGTAGACTCGTTTTTGCGAGAAAAAGTCAGAATTGTGAGATATAATCTCACATTTGTGAGAAAAAAATGGAAAATTCGGAATTGTGAGATATAAACTAGCATTTGTGAGAAAAAAGTCTGAATTGCGGCATGTAAATTCACAATTGTGAGGAAAAAAAAGTCAGAATTATCATAACTTGCAATTGCTAGAAAAAAAGTGTTAATTGTGAGATATAGACTCGCTTTTGCGAGAAAAAGTCAGAATTGCGGGACATTTTTTAATTCTGATTTTTTTTTTTTTAATTGTGAGAAAAAGGCAAAATTGTGAAAACTCACAATTGCCAAAAAAAAAAATGAATTGTGAGATATAACTCTGAATTGTGGAATTTAAACTTGTGGAATTGGAAAAAGTTTGAATTGTGATGACTCACAATTGCGAGAAAGTCAGAATTGTGATAACTCGCTTTTGCGAGAAAAAAAGGTGAAAAGTCTGAATTGTGAGATATAAACACAATTGCGGATTTTTACATTTTTTTTTTATTGTGATTCAAAAACTCACAATTGCAAGAAAAAAAGTCAGAATTGTGAGAAAAGTCACAATTACTTCCCCCCCCCCCCCTCCTGGTGGAAACAAGCTTCCAAATAAAGCCATTTTACCATAATGATTATTGTGAAAGACAGTACATATGCATGGTTTTACTCGATTGCCCTCATCTTGAGTGCCTTATCACTTTTGTGTCTACCTTCGCCATACTGGCGAGTAAGCAGGAAAATTCAGTAGATCAGGTTACATAGTCCAAAGCAAAAGATGACAGATTCACTATTTTATACTGGGGTTATAGCAAGACAAAACAAATCTCAGCATGTAACACTTGCTTTTAATTTCTCAGTGTTTTTAATATAAGAACTTAATGCTAATTACATCATCGCCAAAGCAATTACACTTAACTAGGTGCTTGAGTATTTTCCTAACAAAAACATTGTATTTTAATGTAAAATTGTAATATTTCGGTTTTTCTCTTATTCTTTTTTTTGAGTGTGGTAAGGCATGTCATTGGTCAACAGGGGATTTTGAACAGCACAAAGTGAAATTAACATTTAATTCCATATCAAAATGTGCAATAAGATCCGGGCTATTCCGATCCACGTGTTCTCAGGTCCTTTCAGTAATGTAGAAACACTCTAGGTTTGGATTGTTAGCATATACGGTATGTGGATTCAATACTCTTTATTATTTTTTATGATCCACACATGGCATCCAGCTTGGTGTTGATTTTTTTTATCGATTTTTATTTCGTTTTTTTTTAACCCACAATCACCTTCAGTGGTTAGTACATATGATTTTAAAGACGAGCGCCTTGACACTGTGTCGGACGTAATCAGTGACAATCATCTGATTATTTATGGCATCATATTTTGGTACATTTGTATGCATTATGAAGAGCACATGCTGCATAAAAAGGACTGTTTATTTAGTTGTACATTGAAGACTAATCTGTAATATCTTAACCAAAGAATCGAATGTGAACAGCATCCCCCACAAAACCCATTCTTGCCTTATTGTGCGCTTCTACGACATTTTAAAAGAAAAATCATGCTTCTGTGTGAGAGTGTGTATTTGTGCACTTGAGTGCATATCTGTGTGTTTGTGTGCGTGAGAGAAAAAAAATAGAAATTAATTTTGAAATTCTACTATGTATATTTTAAGAATGTTACAGGAAACGTTTTTATGTCTATTCTTTTTTTCATCTTTCTTTTTTTTTTTTTTTTTTTTTTTCAATATAATTGTTGTTCTGGTTAATATTAAATAAGGGTTGTAACGTCAGTGTTTCATGTATTTGCCAATTAAAGTGACATTGGAGCCCTGGAAGCTAAAATTTCATTATTAAATCCAACAAAAAACACATTTTGATATCATTAGGATAATTAATACAGGGCAATAGATGTGACTATATATAATTACACTTCTCTTAATGGGGTCACATTTAACTGTGTGTATTGGGGGAAAAACATAACAAGTGCTAACATCATTATTTGATTCAAATAAAACCGAGTAAAAATTGCTCTGTAAGGGAACAATTACTGAGGTATAAAATGTATTTTGTGTAAGTTATTACTCTTAAATATCTATTAAAAAAATGATATAAAGTGATATATATATATATATATATATATATATACTAAAAAGTTGTGTGCTCTAATTAAATTATTATCTAATTAAATTAAGTAAATTATGGAGTGCCACAAGGATCTGTGTTAGGACCTCTGCTATTTCCTATATGCTGTCACTTGCTAATATTATAAGAAAACATGGAATTAGTATCCACTGTTATGCTAATGATACTCAGTTATATATTTCATCAAAACCAGATGAAATCTCGAAACTATCCAAGTTGACAGAGTTTGTTAAAGATATACACTCACCGGCCACTTTATTAGGTACACCTGTCCAACTGCTCGTTAACACTTAATTTCTAAGCAGCCAATCACATGGCGGCAACTCAGTGCATTTAGGCATGTAGACATGGTCAAGACAATCTCCTGCAGTTCAAACCGAGCATCAGTATGGGGAAAAAAGGTGATTTGAGTGACTTTGAACGTGGCATGATTGTTGGTGCCAGAAGGGCTGGTCTGAGTATTTCAGAAACTGCTAATCTACTGGGATTTTCACGCACAACCATCTCTAGGGTTTACAGAGAATGGTCCGAAAAAGAAAAAAACATCCAGTGAGCGGCAGTTCTGTGGGCGGAAATGCCTTGTTGATGCCAGAGGTCAGAGGAGAATGGCCAGACTGGTTCGAGCTGATAGAAGGGCAACAGTGACTGAAATAACCACTCGTTACAACCGAGGTATGCAGCAAAGCATTTGTGAAGCCACAACACGCACAACCTTGAGGCGGATGGGCTACAACAGCAGAAGACTCCACCGGGTACCACTCATCTCCACTACAAATAGGAAAAAGAGGCTACAATTTGCAAGAGCTCACCAAAATTGAACAGTTGAAGACTGGAAAAATGTTGCCTGGTCTGATGAGTCTCGATTTCTGTTGAGACATTCAGATGTTAGAGTCAGAATTTGGCGTAAAAAGAATGAGAACATGGAACCATCATGCCTTGTTACCACTGTGCAGGCTGGTGGTGGTGGTGTAATGGTGTGGGGGATGTTTTCCTGGCACACTTTAGGCCCCTTAGTGCCAATTGGGCATCGTTTAAATGCCACGGCCTACCTGAGCATTGTTTCTGACCATGTCCATCCCTTTATGGCCACCATGTACCCATCCTCTGATGGCTACTTCCACCATGTCACAAAGCTCTAATCATTTCAAATTGGTTTCTTGAACATGACAATGAGTTCACTGTACTAAAATGGCCTCCACAGTCACCAGATCTCAACCCAATAGAGCATCTTTGGGATGTGGTGGAACGGGAGATTCGCATCATGGATGTGCAGCCGACAAATCTGCGGCAACTGTGTGATGCCATCATGTCAATATGGACCAAACTCCCTGAGGAATGCTTCCAGCACCTTGTTGAATCTATGCCACGAAGAATTGAGGCAGTTCTGAAGGCAAAAGAGGGTCCAACCCGTTACTAGCATGGGGTACCTAATAAAGTGGCCGGTGAGTGTACAATACTGGATGACCTGTCAGTTTCTTCTATTAAGTTCAGATAAGACTGATATATTACTTATTGGACCAAAACCCTGTACACAGAATATCTTAGAATTTGCATTTAGAAGGATGTCCTGAAACTTGATCCCCTACAGTTAAAGACCTGGGTGTTATATTAGACAGCACAGCAGCTTGTCCTAACCAGACTACTGCGTTTTGACAAAGACTTTGAGTTAGATTAAGGGCAGGCACTTCCAGTTTGGGCAAGTTCCACTTAGAAAGACTGAAACAAATCATTTAAAATCATATGGTTGTGCTAAATATAGGCCCAATCCTTATCCGTCAGTTTGACTGAACGAGCTGTACATTTTCCTTCATGTTCTCATGTTCAGACTTCAAGAGAATAAGGTAACACTTGGTAATTTAATGTGACGTGATGACAAGATTTGTTCTCCTCAAATCCTCAGTCTCTTTCCAGGTTTGTTTTCACACGGATGCTTTAAAATGTAATAGTCTCCTTTTTACATCTTATTCTTATTGGCAGTGTTTACTTGAATGTTTCTATAAAGCAAGTAAAAACAATATTTATTTTCTCTTAAAATGATGGAAATCAATGAAATATTATCACTCAAAACTCAATGTTCCAGTGAATATGTTACAGACATAGGCCAATACGGTGATGTTTAACAAGTCCACGCGGAATGCTTTTTACACTTTTAAATGTACTTTTAATGTTAGATGGTGAAGGGTGTAGAATAGCCTAATGTAATTTCATTGTACACATTTTTTAAATGCTTATTATTGCGTTCAGCGAACCTTTCACTGCTTGTTTACAGTTTAACAAAAGTTACTCCCATAATTCGCGCAAAGCGTCATGGGGTGTAGGAAAAAGGTGAATAGCTGGGAAAAATGCGGGATTAAATGAGTTAACTACATTACCCACAATGCACGCAGGTGTTTACAGTATGTCATGCGCACGGGCTTCGTTGTGCTCTGTAATGTTAGGTGATACACTAGATACAGTGGAGGTCATTTGACGGGACGATGATCGACCACTCGATGCGAGAATACGGTCACGCGCTCGGAAAGGGAGCTCGCGGCGAGCGCGAGGCGACTGTAGTGCGCGCGGAGCATCGATCTGAGTGTCAGTCCCATGCAGGTATTTACATGACTAAAGAGAGAGTAGCTTATAAAGTAAGCTTAACACCATTTTGGTGAAGCTATTGTAGGTTTATAACCCATTAGACAACATAGATCAATATAAAATATGATTGTAAATACTTTTAATAAATTAATAGGCCTACACAGTAGGGTTTCAAATGTCAC